AGTGTGAATGGGCCCACGAGCTGGCCATACACTGCCCTTTTTTTCCCACCTTGGGGCTAAACGAAAAAAATAGAGATGATTCCTCTATCAATGCTACAAGCACTTTGATCGAGGAGTCCCCACTGTGTTCTTTATATTCTGACAGCGGCCCTCGGCCACTGTCGGGATATCCACACAGAGCCGGCAGCTCATTGGCTACCAGCTCTGTTCGTAGAAAGATTTTCCTCATGGCTCCTTCAATCAGCTGATCGAGAGATGCTGGCTGAAAGGGTGCTGACACCAGCACCCACTGTGTGAATTTCAGCCGGTTCATCAAGAACCGGCTGAAATTCACAGTGTATGGCCACCTAAAGTCAAACCTAGCACTCTTATCAGAGAGGTAAACTATGAGACTATTACCTGTAATAGCCAAACTGTGTCAGCATTGCTGGCTCTTTCTTTAATCCTTTCTTTCAGATCTCCACAGGTCCTCTTTAGAGCTGCTGAGGCTCTCCCCCCTCCCTGAGACTTAACTCCTGATGCTGGGAGAGCACTCAAGGCTGCAAAGAGTCCTGCCGCCTCTGCACAACTCCCGCCCCCTCCCATGACAAACGAAGATCTACAGAGTCACCTACTCCTTCAAGAGCAGACTTGCGATTGCTAATTACCAGCATTAGCGTCACGATCGAGCTATTGGGCACCCCTGTTCTAGATAATTGGCGGCTTATTATTTTTGGCATACCTTATTTTTCTTTTCCTCCCCAGTCTTCTGACAGTGGCCATTTAAACTAAGTGCAGATTGCTAGATCTCCCTTTACTTCCTGGAACTCTGGCACATGTGACTAGGACATGTGACCATGCACATTTCAGGGAAGAAAAATGCCTTTCCCTGAAATATGAGATTACAGATGAGATTGCTTAGTGATGCCCTGTTGATATAACCTTCCCAAGATGCAACGCTTGGGCACAGTTACATTATTTGTGCCAAAGTGTACCAGGAAGTGGAAAAAAAGAACTTGTAAGTAAAAGAAAAATGTTTACTTAACTAATGAATGTAAGATGATTGCATATCGGCATGCAGAGCTGGATGCTGATGTGATTTTAGTGAAAGGGGGTAAAGGGCCACTTTAAAGCATGATCCAGGATATCGTACAACATAGGAGAAAGGAATACAAATTGTGTCCAGAAAGCCATCTACTATTAGAAGTGATTTATTATGGGGTCTATTTGGAACAAAGATTTAATACTGGCACATGGTTGAGAACTAGTGGTTTGTTCAAATTTGGAGCTACTGGGTGTCAGTTATCGGTTTTTGGGGGGCTCTCACGCAGTTACCTCATGTAACTCAGGCAAAACATATTGCACAAAAGATTTATTTAATTGTAATACTAGCTATGTCTTATATGTGCAGTATGAGGGCCGTATCCCTAGGCCGTTATGTGATCGCCTGAAAGATATATGGAATGAAAATATCACTAATTAAGTTGTCCAGAAACATGACTAAGGCCTCATTCACACAGCATAGAGTGGGGGCCGTACAAATCCGTGCGGCTGTAACGGGCCGTTCCCAGAAAGGACAGGTGCTGCGTGTGATTGTACACAGCAGCCTGTTCTTCCCTATGGGAATACGCGGCTGTACGCTGTCGTACGCCCACCCGAGCTGCACAGCCGCGCGGGTCCGGCTGTCCGGACGCACACAGGATGTATCCTGTCTGCGTCCGAGTACGGACACCCGCACGGATGTGCAGCTCGGGTGAGCGTACCGCCTTGTCCTCCCATAGGGAAGAACACGCTGCTGCGTACAATAACACGCAACACCTGTCCTTCCCGGGAGCGGCCCGATACGGCCTTGCACGCCGCACGGATCTGTACGGCCCCACTCTACGCTGTGTGACTGAGGCCTAAAACGCAATCATTGCAAGGCCAGATTTTAGAAAGAATTGATACACCTATCAGAGGAAGACATTGCTTCTCTTTACTTTGTACTATTGTACTATTATTTATTTGTTGTTTTTTTTTACCATAAACATTAGGTTACTTAAGGGGGTTTACATTTAAAATGGGATGTTTCACTTTTTTTTAATATATGAATCTGTTATGTTCCATTTTTTTTTTTTTTTTTTTTTTTTTTTTTTTACTTTCCTCTTCTCATCCTCTCTTCTTTTTTCTCTTCCTCTACTACCTAACTCTAATTTTTATTATATGTATACAATAATTATTTTACAAATATGTAATTTAGTTTGTTTTCGTGACATTCGATTTTCAGAGTATGCCAAGTTTTTTCCGCACTGCTGGCTGCTTCTATCTAATTGAAAATCCATTCCATCCATCCAGCTTAGCAGTAAATCACTGTGTAGAAAAATAGAGTATCAGTCTTTAGCGTTCTGGCTGCAAGGGGTAAATATGAGAAATCCATATGCAGTGCCTCCTAATGGTGCAGCCCCCTCCCAGCAAATTATACTTGGGGAATCCAAGCTCCCTTGCTACCTCCTCGCTTCAGGAGTCCACCCTCAGTAGGTCATGTTGTTTGCTGATTTCAGTGCATATTTAAGTGGATGACCTCACTGCTGTTCCCCTAACATGACAGTGTGTGGGTCTTGTGATTGTGACTCAGGCCTAGCGACTGTCGCATGTTACCGGTCACATGTTACTGCATAAGAGAAGCCTCACTCTATTGGACCAGCAGTGCAAGGGCCCTGAAAGAACTGTGAGACAGACGCCCTGTTGTATTAGAGCAATGGGTTTGCATGGAGCTGGGAGGCTCTAAATAAGTACAGGTTAGTAAATATAACTTGCTGGGAGGGTGGACAATAATGAGACACTGGGATTTTGCCCTTAATAGACCTCCCTAAGAGGTCTAGGCAAAAACACTATGAGGGGAATTTATCAAAACTGGAGGAGCTGTGCATGACAACCAATCAGACTCTCTCTTCAGTTTGGTCCGTTAAAGTGACATTAAAGTCAAAAAAGGTTTTCCCTCCACCCAATGTTATTGTCAGCACTTACCTTAAATGATGTCTCTTATTCGGATCTTCCTTCCTGATGTTTTCATCTATCCCTCCAGCGGTGCGGCGGCTCTCCGATCCAGCGCTGACTGCTCTGTCCCTCCGATCCAGCGGGGTCTGCATGCGGGTGCCCGCGTCCATAGACTTACCTTGCGTCTCTGCTCGTCTCCCGGTCGAGAATCGGAACTGCGCATGCGCCAGCCCCAAGATCCTTTGCGGCCGTACGAGCAGTTCCTGATTCTCGGCGCGGGAGCGCGCAGCGATAACGAGATAAGTTTAAACCCAGTTAAAGCTGTTTTTTTTATTTTTTAAACTTCTTGCCAATATCTACTGCTTGCTAGCAGTAGATATAGGCAAAACAACAGGAGGGTTTAGAACCCCTTTAAGCTTTGAAAATAAAAGAACAGCTGATTGGTTGTCATGCACAGCCGCTCCAGTTTTGATAAATCCCCCTCTATGTTCCCTTTTTAAAATGTTACTTATTGAATGTTTTTAGCCGTTTGAAACTGTTTTCTCATTTAATACCTGGATTGTGAGGAGATGCCAGTGAATAGAAGCACTTGGCCAACTACACCCACCAACATGCAAATGAACACTTCCCTTTGGCATCATGGGGGAAACATCCGTGAAACCGCTTTGTGGTTGTTAGGGTCATCGACCACAGCTGGCTGCTGAAAGCTTTTTCTTTTTTTCTGCAAAAACTCTTGGGTTATGTGCGGTTTTCTATGTAAAATTCTTGCCAATTCTTTTTCAACCACAAGGCTTTTAACAGTTTCCTTAGATGTGTGCTCTATGAATTTATTTTTTTTCATTAACGGCAGTTGCCATGTGTTATAGGAAAGCTATATTCAGTATAAACTTTTCAATATGTGTAACTCATTAAAATCAGAATGTATTCATAGCTTCTGAGTTGGCTATTGCTGTGGAGAACTAGAAGATGTGGTTTCCAGTTGATATCAGTAGAATAAATATATTTCTGTATCTCCCAAATCTGTCCAAGTCCCATGAACAGTGCACGATTTGCAGGTGACTTCACATATGCTCAGTCGGAGTAGTTAGCATCCGAGTATTTAAAGCCCAACTCCAGCCAAACAAAGTAGTTTTTTTAATTGAAATGTGTGTGGTTGACATCTGTCAGGTTTTTTTTTCCGTCTGGGATCCTATTAGAGAGTTTTATTTCTTTACCCCCTTAACCTGTGATATCTGTGCAAGAAATGAGGGGTGCAGTAGTTACTAAAACAGATCATGAACTGTTGGTGGAACTTGAGGCTGGGTTCACACCATTTTCCCGGCCAGATCTGGAACATAGTGCATTGGGTTTTTGCCACGTGTTTACCGTGATTTTGCCGCAATTGGAAACTTTTTTTTAAAATAGCTGAAAATGGTCATACAGTGGCGTTCCAGTGCATTCCAGACCAGACAAAATAGTACAAGCAGTATTTTTTTGGTCTGGAACGGACTGCGCTGGTGGGAACAGAGGCCCAAAATAGCATAGGGATACATTGGGATGCATTTTGGGTCCGGAAACGGTCTGGTCTGGAGGTAATCTGGATGTGGTGTGAATGGGCCCTGAGGGCTGATGGGTACATCAAAGACCACAGGAATGAATGGTAGATGTCGGGTGGAGATCCTCACCCATACGTTGTACAACTCTACTCTGGTCCTTAGGGGGAACACACGCGACGCCGCACCGTACAAGCGATCCAGCACCTGTACAGACGCCAGATCACTTGTATTTAAACAGCAATCATCTACTGTTTAAAACGGTACCAAGAACACTGCTGCAGCAGCCGTGTTATTGGTATGACCACTTCCAGTGGATGACGGGTATTTGTGTGAACCCGCTGGAAGTGAATAATAAAGCAAATCTACTTTGAGTACTTGCATACATACAGTTAGACTAAACATACATACAGTAAGGCAGCCACAATGGTAGAACCACTAAAGTTTGCATTTATCTGATCTGTATGCTGAATATTCTTAAACATTTGATTTTCTTTTCTTTTTTTTTTACAGCTCGAATGGGGTTAAATTTCCATCATCCAGCGACTGATAACATAATGGCACTTAATAGTAAGTTTTAAGAGCTTTCACCATATATTGTGTGTTTCACACTACTATTCCATAGATATGAATATCACATACATACAGTATATATGTCTACTGTGGCTGTCCGTGTATATGTATTTTTGCTTTCTTTAAGCAAGGAATTGTTATCCTTTATTTTTTTGTATCGCATGCGTTTTTATAGCTGCTAAAAGGGTTTTGCTGTGTGAACATTTTATCTTGAAGTGTTGATTATCACTTGTACTATTTATTTTTCTTCATCTTTTACTTTTTGACCAGGGTCACCTTTTTGCTTTCCATAATTACTGATCTCCTGCCTAGATTGCATGCCATACGTCTGAATGCCAAACAGCTTTCATGTCTCATGGGTTCATTTATTAAAACTAGCAGAAATGGGCAGAATTTAGCTACACCTATACAAAAGCTGCCTGTTGCTATCAGTGTGTGATCTCCACTAATCACATGTGAGCATTGCAGCATAATAATGATCAATAATGGTTTCTGGCAGTAAAGATATTAAGCAGGTTTGTGAAGCCGATATTTAGCTGCTCTAAGTCTGCAGTTTCAGTGTAAGCTGCATCCAAGATGAATGTAAACAAAGCAATGTTTATACTGGCCTAGACCTCTGATGCCAATTCTCAAAGCACAGGAATAAAAAAGAAAAGGTTTACGGACTATGTTTGCAATGTTGCTAGGTATTCCTGGCCTATTTCAAACGGTGTGCATCCATCCAATACTTTTTTTGTTTTATTTTTGGATAGCGTGGGGACAGTGGCGTAACCAGAGTTCTGGGCGCCCGGGGCAGAAATTTTTTTTCGCCCCCCCCCCCC